AAGTTATGCGTCATTCTTCAGCATCATGCATTCTTACAGACCAGAAAACAGTGATGTCCTGAAAGCCATTGCAGCGTTTATTCCTATTTATTGTCTTAAAAGCACATTTTAAGAACCATAAAAGTAGCAGATAATATAATATAATGTTAATTTTGTATTAAAATTACAATACTTAGGATAGGTGTTACATTGCACCTACGACTGCATTAAACTAAAAAGCTGCGCAAAGATATGCACACTCAAATTAGACTCGGCCTTGTTAAACACAGATCCCTGGAAATTTTAGAGGTGGAATCAGGTGCCTAGGAGGAGTAAGCATCCCCTGTTGTAAGCTTCAGACTGAAATAAAATCTCTTATCTCCTTATCACTGTTTGAACAATGGCAATAGATTGACTGGGTAATACATGTTTGAAACAACTTAATGCAATGTGACAGCATACACATATTTTAAGTTGATCCATGTTCAGGCAGCTAGATTGAGGTCCACAGTGATTCAGGCTGTAAGTGATCTGTGTTTCTTCACAGTATCCATCTTTTTATAATGTGTAAAAAATTAGTATATAGCCTATCTGAGTTCACTAAATATCTGTTAGATTTGCAACTGTATCTTGCACTTTATTTTTTTTCAGAAATAATCAATCAATCCAGTCAATAAGCTTGGGTACTTTGGGCCCAATGTTAAAACCACTATTTATAGAATATGGTGCAGACAGGGGGACCTGATGAAAACTTTTCAGACATTTTATGCAATTAGCAATCAATTGAATAGTGGAGAAAATACATTACCATTATTGTTTATCCTAAGTTTTTCTTTGTTTGATTTAGTGTTTGTCTTGTCTCAACAGTGTTTTAGAGTAAGCACTGTATTTGTAAATGTAAATTGGGTGTGATGCAGTCACCATATATCCAGTTGCATGAACACCATGACAAAAGCCAGCTATATTAATTGCTCTATATATATAAGCAATGAGCTCAGCTAATAAAAATACTCTGGAATGACTTATATAGCACCATTTGTAGCGATATTGTTCACTGTCGAGGTTTTATCGTTTGCAGCCATTAAATCAATTGATATGTTGGAAAACTACCTGACCAATGTAGTTTTCATATTAACTGCCTTTATCTTAACCCCTCAACATAAAATCAAAATTCTGCAGAATATGAAATGAGTTCAAAATTGCATTATGAAAAAGACTCTGATATCACTTTTATTTTATAAAAAATAAAGCTCCATATTCACAACATTAAGTTCACTCTACCTAAAGGTTAGTACCTATAAACATATGTTCTCTGTGTAAATGGTAGGAGACAGCGTTCTGTATAATGCTTCAGAATTTTCCATTTCAATTTCTCAAAAGTTGATTCTTTATGCCTCTGTTGTCCTTTTCTTGTTTTCACATCGGCAAATACTTCATACCTTTTCCATGAATTTTTTTTTCCAGGTAGTAATGTTGTTCATGCTTTAAGAAATTCCTTTTTACTTATTCTCAACTTGACTGTCAACTGGATATTTTATGGTTTTTGATTTGATAACAGATACTTCAGGATTGGTATCTGCTTCTTCTCACAGTAACAATTCTATGGATATTCTGTGCATTTTGATGGTAGATCTGTTTCTTCTATCAAAGTTATAAAGGATGAATCGTTTAAATGTCCAAATCTGGCCCCCCGATAATTTACAAAAAATTAAATTAAAGATTTTCTACATATTTTTGCTCAATCTTTCCATCAAACATTGTAGTTAATTAATTTCAATTTTTACTTCCTTGCACTGTAATTAGGTATTTATGTGATTAATATAGCAGGGGTATGTTATTTACATCGATTTCTCATAGATTTTAGGCCACACCCCCATTTTGCAAGCCCATTTTTTATATGAGCGCATGGATGTTTCAAGTTGTTGTAAATACGGTCAATGTAAAGAGTTATACTAGTCATTTACATTCATGAAAAAAATTGAAACAATCTTGCGCTCATTTGTTATTTTCCAAAAAAGTGCAAAATCATGGGTGCTTGTCTGCATAGTAAAGGCACCTTGTTTACAAATTTCAACCCATCATTGACCTCATGAATAACAAAGCAATGAACAAGTGACTCAAATCTATTCACTTCCACGCTTTGAGCACACCTACGTGACATTGTGTCTAGTGTCTGCGAGCCATCGATGGTCAAATCATTTTTCAAATGGGTAATTCAAATCCTTGGAGAAAACTTTTTTATGATTAAGATGTGTTAAGATTTTCAGTCGATTTTGTTTGATTTTTTTCGGTATCTATCAATTTATATTGAAGTCCTGTAGCATATAGCTTGCACTTACTGCTTGTGTCTCATAAATACAGAATTTTAAAATTTAAATTACTGTGGGTATATATTATACATTTGCCCTTCTTCCTAAATACATGTATACATCAGTGCTCCTTTCATTGACTTGGAAAATATGAAAGATTTTTTTTTTCAGTTAAAACTGTCATTAATTTTTAAATTATAGTCTGTTATTTAAAAAACACCAATTCATCATATCTTTAGAAAAATAAATTGTTTTTTAAAAGTGCACAAATGCATACTTCCAATAGAAGAAACCTTCATGGAAAGAAAATGAAGTACGGAGCGCTCAAAAAACCTGTGTATGGGATGAAAAGTCACTGGATGAATAACTTTGCACAAAAAGCACCCCTAATTTGAATAGAAGGAAGCTTCAAGTTTCTTCTGAAGCAAATGCTATAACTTTTTACATCAGCACAAAATTTCACAATTTTTTTTTAATTTTTTTTTTTTAAATTTTTTTTTTTTTTTTTTTTTTTTTTTTGCAGATCATGTAAAAAAAAAAAGTCCTTTTTTGCAGATCATGTAAAAAAAAAAAGTCCATGTTTGCAGGTATTTTTAAAGCATAATGTTTAAAAGCAAGAACATGCATTTGTATGACCCTTTCACATGTCTGATCAACGTAGATATTAGTAAAAAAAAAATCAATCGAATAAAAGGGTGTTAAAAATACCTCGGAGTGATTTATTATTTATCTTACTACAGGGAGAGAGTTTGTTAAAATCAAAAAGTACAGGAGTGGATTTCAACAATTAATGAATTTTTAAATGAGGAAGATCATATTAACTTGTCTGGCATGAATAAACAGGATTTTTTGAAACAATGCAATTTGGACTGTACAAAGTACACTGACACAGATGTTTCTTTATCCACCAGCGATGATACTGACATTAAACTGACATTTAATTGATGTTTAAATTTTCACTTTCTTAACTATCTAATTTTTATACACCGAGTGTAGATTTATATCATAATTCAATAGCACTCGGATTTTGCAAAATTATTTATATGTATGAAAAATTTCTAATTATGTAATAAGCTTAAGGTCAAGATCTAGTGAATAAAAGGCGCCCACAGATTTCTCAAATTTGAGATACACATTCTTTTAATGATCCTTTACGAATATAGCTTGGTAACATAAGGTGTATCCAGACATAATTTTGGGGTAAACCCATCGGAAAAACATATTATAAACTGCCCATTTTCAATGAAAAGTGAAGAAAGTCTGGTATAAATATTGGAGTTTTTTCCATCTCAGACAAAGGAAATGTATCAACATTGTCTACAGTCTCTCAGAAAATGGTTTTTCATATCTTCTTGATCTCTACTTTAAAATGATATTAAACGGAATAAGGGTTTCTGAGTTACATTTGACATGATTTCAAATGGAATTCCGTGAAAGTGCTTTATTTTCTACATAATTCTATTGAAGCCGTAAAGTACGGGAAAAATTAAGTTTAAATCAATTATGACGTCATAATGAATCTAGCACCAAGAAGAAAGTCTAAACTCATTTACTAGATCTTGACCTTAAGGGGGCCGACTGGGGTTTTCATTGCGCAATACTTCGCGCAGCATAGTAAAATAAAGCGTATTTACTCTTTTAAAGCAAACTATTTTTACAAAATTTATAAAAATTAACAAATTTCGGAAATCTTAGGTTAAAAAATATAATTATGTTTTTAAATAACTGATTTTTTAAACGATTTTTCAAATGATGGGTAGATAGACGTCGTAATAGTGTGTTTTTGACGTTATGAATAACCGAAGTTCTTTAAGCGGGGTCATTAATTATGCCATAAAATAAAAAGTATAAAATACATGCTCTTGAAATTTTAAACATAGGAAATTGAGAATCTAACAATCATTTTTATAATTTTTTATGTAAATCTGTGGTATCTGTCATGTTTTGTTGTACTCCATAAAAACAGGAAAATATCATGAATTTTGACATTTTGAGATGCCCCTCTGAAAACTAGACGTTAGAATTTTGTGTTTCTTGCACAAAATGTACAATATAGTATTACCCATCAAATAATATAATTTGAGCAAAAAGTCTATAGTAACATTTGTATAATTTACTCCGAAGTGCGAAAAAATGGTATTTTCCTATATAATCCTATAGTAAATGAACCTGTATTTTGAGATGGTCCCTCGAAAATAACCAGGTGGTAGATTTTCACTAAACTTGGCATGTATACTAAAGTCAATGTAAGGTACATATGCTATAAAATTAAAGTCAGTTTCTCTATAGTAGTTTTCACACAATGAAACCCCAGTCGGCTCCCTTAAATGGATTAATTATCTCATTTTCAAAAAAAAAGGGTTTCTTTAAAGTATGAAAAATAGCGTATCCTTTGTTATACGTTCTGTTTCCAAATTTCATTGTGTATTTAATGTATAAATAATTCAACGAATTTCTATAAATCATTTCAAATACGAATCGTAAGTTAAGCAGGAAAAAAATCAAAATTAAGCCAGCCAAATTAAAAATTTATGTTTATATTTTGTCAGTCTCTAGCATGAAAAAAGGCTTTTTAGGTGTCAGTTAATCATAAAACTTAGTACACCTCGAACACACGCTAATGTATTCATACTAATCGCACGCTTGATAGACGCTCCGCCTTCTCATTCAAATAATACAATGACCTACATAGCTGTAATGGCGAAACTGGGATTTTACAGTGAAGTATATGATTTTATTTAATCAATATAATGAATAATATATTGAATGTCTCTTTCCAAAAAAAATCTTTTATGAGTATCTATACAGACTATGCTTGAAGACTTTAGCTATAACAATATTCTGATTTGAAAAGGTCAAATTCTGCATTTAAAAAGGATTCATTCTTTATGAATACATCATGCCTTTTGTTTTGATAGTGATATTTCATGCTGCATGTGCTTCTTCTCATGTAACAAATCTGTTATTCTATGCTTCTGAATTTAATCAGTTGCATCATTTACTGAATAACTTCTATGCTGCTCCTGTATTTTCAGACAAGCACATCACTAGTTTATGCTCATGCTTTTTATACATCACAGTCTTACACATCTGTGGATATTTTAACCCCTGTTTCTGCCATACCCTCTGATTCCTGGATGAGAATGTGTGGCTGCTGTTGTATAATGTATCTTTGTGAATGTCTGACCACAGTTTGGTATTTGCCGATCACAACCTCTATCAGGCCTCTCCTGATTTTAGCACTTAGCAAGTAAAACAGCAGTGACTTGCAGCTTAGGAAGGAAAAATATAGGAGGTTGTTTGTTAAGTCAATTGCCTCAATGGTGGCATAATCAAGGGTGTCACTGCTCTGGAACTTTAAGAACAAAATTTGACAGACAGATTTAAAAAGAAACACAATCACGAACCACACACAAAGAATTAGTCCCAAAAGACGCATTTCAAGCAATGCTTCCACCTCCAAAAAGTAGTTCTTAAGTTGAAGGATATCAAATTTTTGCTGGTGGTGAGTGCAGAAGAAGCAGAAGATGAGGAAGAGAAGGATGGAGGACACTAGGAAAGGGATGAAAATTACGAGCAGGAAGTCCATGTAAGGCTGGATTTTTTGTGTGAATACCTCCATAGAAAGGTCCATATAGGTCAGGTGGCAAAGACGAGGCCTGTGAAAATTCTCACTCTTCTCTGTCAGACCAAAAGTCCAGAAATAGTGAAGATTTATGAACGTCAACAAGACCACAATAAGCAGAAGTGTGGCATTGGCTCTCTCACGAGTGCACATCCGGTAGATACGATTTGGGTAGTTCATTGAAATAAACACATCCCCTGATATCACCACCATGATCCAGGGTGACAGATATCGGATGAAACTCATGAGAAATGTGTAGACTTTGCAAGAGGCATTGGACATGGAGATGATCTGTAAGCTGAGAGATTCTTTATGTACCTGCAGGTACCACTTGTCCCCACAATAGACACAGAGCAGGACCAGGTCTAGGATAAGGGTCATTGCCAGGAAAAAGCAACTCGACCAGACTGTGTAGCTAAACTTGTACAGAAGGACAACAAGAGGCGGTGTCAGGATTGTTCCCAGGAATAAGAAGATGGGATATACGTAGGTTTCTACAGCAATCTTGACACTGTGAATGCCTCCCTCAAGGGGTGGGTAGTCCACTATAGCATAGTCATCAGATAGCTCATGACTAAAGTTTCCATTATCTGTAAAGAAAAAAAATTATATCAATAAATTACATGCAAATCAATTAAAACATATGCATGTATCAATGATTTTCAAAAGGAACATAAATCACAGTTGAGGTTGGAGTGCTTAAATTACCCTGTATATTTCTGCAGACCCCTCACTTCCTTCCCCCCCCCCCTCCCCCTAAAATTTGAAACAGAGATAGATTTAAAGTTTATACTGTAGGCAAATATTGCTTAAAGGTGCTCAATAACCTTTACCCTATTTGTTTTTTTGAAAGTTCAAATGGAAAAATATTTTATTTCTGGGTCTCAAAACAGTAAATGAAAAAGATAAGCGAATCATATACTCGACATTATGATTATCTTTGACTGAAATGTTGTCATAAATTCGGCTGACAGTCTTAATGGTATAGTCAAGGTTACTCAGAAAAAAGAATAAAATGTGGGAGGAATATCATTTTATAAGATTGCTCTTGGTATTTCAAGTTCTTTTATGGAATATATTTTTTTAATTGTTTTTGGTATTTCAAGTTCTTTTAATCAAGTTAATTTTATCATTGATGAACCACTTGAGTTTGATTGTATGTGACAATTCAGAAGTCATTTACAATATTAAGTGCTTAAGGCATATAGTTTTATGTTGGTACTAATACACTGTGAATATGGACAATAGAGAAATAATGATTTTATATTGATGATCTGCTATGTGATATGGAACCTAGCCAGGGTGAAAACGTCAATTAGAAGTCAGGAGAGAGGTAGGGTTTACAATCAGGATTGATATGAACTCCCTGGCGGGAATCAGTCAGGGCAGAGAACCAGGTTAGTTTATGCACATGGCCTTACAGGTGTCTGAACTCAGTCGATATCAAATATTATAGCAGCAGCTTTAGTCCCTGGTAAAGCAACAGTGGTCAGAGTGCTGTTATACTCTCGCGTCATTCCATAGTTCATTAGATGTGAATTGTGACAGACCCAGTTATAGTGTGGTCTTATCTGATCTTTGTTGTAATAAGATATATTACAGTGTTTTTGATCTCCTTTGGTACAAAGATATATGATTGCGCCCATGGGAAAAGGGCCCTTATGGCAATTTTTACACATTTTAAGTTTTTCATGGATATTAATAGAGCAAGGTTAGAAGTTGCCATATCTGAATTTTTATGGCCCTACGTCAACTCTAAGTAGGTTTTTTCTTCATTTATATCAATGATACTTTAACAGGTAAACAATGACGTCATGTTACTTTCGCACCAACGTCAAAAGTTTTCAGAGTGAACATGACTTTCACTTTGCATTGTAATGTTACTGCGGTAATAAATGTATGTTATTGAGCATTTCCAGAAACATTTTTGAGTCATTGTCTCTTTTAATAATTGTATAATATGATAATAAATAGTTGTATTAACTATTATCCATCATGCAGTGGTGTATAGAATTATGAGTGTTTTGTTCGTTTGTTTGTTTTACATTTCACTATGTTGGAATGTCAGGAAAACCCGAGAAGCAAGCGGCTTCTGTTCAATATCAATTTATTCTCTCAAAACCAAAGTATTTATCTCGTGTAATAATCATTTGAGAAACCTGTAGAATTCATTCGAAAATCATCTCATTTTAAGCATGGCTCTCGATAGGACTAGATGTCAATTTATTTTTTTTTTTGGGGGGGGGGGGGGGGGTTTGAATCCAGTATAAACGATATCTCTTTCAAAATGTGAAGTTAAAAAATATTTCAAAAAAATTCTTGGTAACAACAATAAAATAGATGCTGCTGGGTAGTGAAAATTTGTTTTGTTTTTTTTTTGTTTGTTTGTTTTTGTTTTCTAAATATAATTAGACAGAAAATTTGTGAAATGTAGTGAGTTACCATATACGCTGTACAACAATTTAAGGACATTAAGTTGATACACTGCATGTTAAGCAATATTCAATAAAAAATTTTTAAACAAAAAATCAGAAGGACTTCTGCCCGCATGTAGTTACAAAACTTCTTTTTTTTTTAATTGAAATAATACACATTTTTCCAGTCACAGCAAGGAAAATTTTTGAATAATTAATTTTAAGAAAGCAGGTTGATAAATTATAAACAAATGGATGAATTATAATTTACATGCATTTAAAATGAAAGGAACACAACAGATCCAGGATGACCAGTGGTTGGTAGTGTGTGTGTGTGTGTGGGGGGGGGGGGTTAAAGTTAAATGACAGAAACCTCCATTACTTGTAGTTAACATGAGTTTAATAGCATACGAGGGTTGTTGTATTTTTAAAATCTTCCTACATTTTAAGTGTGCAGGGGGGGGGGGGGGGTGCCTTCCCACCACCAACCCCTAACCTCCAAATACATCATGTGGTTAGGTTTGAAATAATATTGAAATAATTCCTAAATTTATTTTTGCACCTTGAAATCTCTCCTTACGTACATGTATATGAGCAGAGTCATTTTCAAAACAAACAGCGATCATGAGCTCCACATACCTGGAACTGGAAACTTAACTGCTATCAAATCTAGTTAATCATGAGAAAAATTGCCTCCTAGAATAACGATTTTGTTTGATTTTGTAAAATTAAATGGTTTTAGAAGAACATGTATACACTGGGTATTGATAGATATCGGATATTTTATTGTCATTTCAACAAATTTTATCCGAACTTTGAATGACATCAATATGTCATTTTTTAAAATTAATATCAAATAGATTTTTCTAAGAAATAAATCATAAATATTTATATATATGTTGTCGTTATGAATCAATGACATGCAGATTAATTAATAGAATTTTTTCGGCTGGGGGGTGGGTGTAAACATTAATTGAAAGTTTTATATATCCAGTCAGTTAAATGCGACTGGTTCATAATATTCCTTGACTGGCTGAGTTTTTAAATGACAAATTTTTACAATGTGGCACACATTTAAGTACATGTAAATATTGTTATGTGATGGTATGTGTAGAATCCCCCCCCCCCCCCCATTTCTCGCGGCTTCTTTATCGTATGAAATTCTAATGTTATTGTTTTCAAATGTTATTGTATATGAAGTTTTACAATATAAAAATTCCATTCTGGCCCCATGCCAGAGACTTGGATATGCTTATCCTTGTAAAGCTTTACAGATACACTGTAAAGTAGTTAGGTCCCGGTAATATAAGATGACCCTGGCCCTCTTCCCCGGTCTCCTGCACTGCCACAAAAAATAAAAACTTGCAAACATATTCTTAGTCTTTTGTGCAGTATATTTTTAGCATTTAATTTAATTTGTACAATGCATGTTTAAATACAATTTGATCTTAACAAGATTTATTTCAATAAATCCAAAGAACAAAATCAGCCCGTTAACATAATTCAACGGCAAGTTAAGCAATATCATACTAAACCGATAACTGAGATTATTATTTCAATAAGAAAAGGAGATTTAGATTGATAATAGAACTGTAATGACATACAGTGCTGAGATTCTATGAATGACAATGATTACATATATTTGACTTTTAAGTGACTAAAAACTACAGATAAAGCTAAAACCTTTGAGCTTTTTTTATGCACAACACGATTACCAAAATGTTATATTTTCGAGTTACTGAAAATAAATAGACAGCAAAAGAAAAAAAAGAGATAGAGATTTCTTTTCATAATACGATATTGTTCTGTTTTTGAAAATTCGCCTTTTCATTAAAGTTTCACATTGTATTAATAAACTGGATTTAATGTAACATCTCTCTCTCTCACACACACACATCAGGTATACATACATGTAAACTTTTTTTAAGCTAGAACAATTAAACAATTTTACTTCATTCGGTAGTTTTTGTTTGTTTTCAAGTACTTACATCGGAAGTGGCAACAACAAAAATAAGACGAAACAATTTTTTTTAATATAATTTTATATTATTTAAATTTATGATCATTATTACTGAGAAAAAAATTAAAATTCAATTTTTTTTAAAATAATTTCATGTTGAAATAAATAGATGCACATGTAACATTTAAAAAAAATAAATGAAAGTCTGGTTCAATGTAGCATCTATTTCTTATTCTATATTTTTTTTCTCTTTCACTTTGACAGCAGCTAGTTCCATGAGCTTTCAAAAATACTTTTAAAGAAAATATAAACATAATACTTACAATTAAAACGTTTTTTTAACTGATGATAAGTAAGATTTTTAGAAATATTTTTTATACTACGGGAGCAAATTTGAATGAGTATGTTAATTTTTAATGGTGTTAAAAAAAAAAAAAGAAAGTCCCTCTCTGGTACCTCTCTAGTATCTCGCTTGTCAGAGTTACCTCTCTTCTTTTTATTTATAGTTCTTAAAAATAATATCATGTCTGTCATTCGTTCGTACTTTTGCTAGATTTGTGAAAACTTACAAGAATACTTTTCTTTTCTGTTGGAAGAAGTGTGATCATTTTCAAATTTTTGGCAATTAAAGCATTTTACAACAAAAATTTATGCACGATGTACGGTATGTACCAATGCTTCAATGTTTACATGACCGATGTGTTGAGAATGGTGGGGCGGATCTTATACAGGAAAACGATTTCCCCTGCAATATTTTGATAATATACCCATGTCTAACAAATAACTTCAATTTGTCTATATATCAAAATCGCATTCGTTCATCCATATTCAATTATCCAGAAAATCACCTTATCTGAAGCTTCTATACATATACATAGGAAATGCATAGCCCAGATCAGAGACGTATTTAAAGCTACAATAACATGTAGTAAAGAAACGGGTCTCGATAAAATTCTAAATATTTTAATTAATATCAGTGGACTAGAAGATCAAGACGTGAATTAAAGATATAAATGAAAATAAATAATTATTTCAGTGTTGAGAACAACGACAAAAGTGAGCTAGACGTGTCAAAATGTAAAACACGTGGATAAAAAAAAAAAAAAAAAAACTTGCGTCGACGCTCACCGTCTGCAACGTCATATCTTTATGACGTTATTTCTCTGTTTTAGCAAAATTGCCATAAGGCCCTTTTGTCATGGGCGCAATCATATATTTTGTGATATATTTTAGATCGTCTCTGAGATTGGGTGCCCATCATCAAATTGTTTTGCTAGATTTTGGTCATAATCACATTAGCTATACATTATTTTCAATCAAAAACTCATACTGTCTGTGAGGATCAACTGTGTTGTAATTACAGCTTTATGCCCCTCAGATGATAGTGTTTTTTGAAGGGTTAGCTTAATGTCTGCAGCAGTGTGTGGTTTAGCTCTGTAGCTCAAGGTTGAAAAATTGTTCTCAAGTAGAACTAAATATAGATGCAGTTTTGGAATGTGTAGTCTCATTTTATCTTGAAATATATGATTGAGATTGAGAGCTACTGAATGATGACTTAATTATTTAATGATGAAGGAATGATTTCGCCAAGGCTTTGTCAAATGAACCACATTTGAATGAACAAAGCTCACATATATACACAAGCTGGTACCTAAAATTTAGACTTTTGAAGAATCTAAATTGAAGGAACGAAGACATCATTCAAGATGTTTAACTTGTGTGAAGGAAAAATTACAAATCATACATTTTACCTCTACAAACTGAAAAACTTTCATTTAAAATTTTTTGTTTTAAGATAAATAAGCTCCATAACATTTTGTATATTTTGAAAAAAAAAAAAAAAAAAAAAAAATTTGTATTTGTCCATAACATTTTGTATATTTTGAAAAAAAAAAAAAAAAAAAAAAAAATCATTGGAAGAAGGTAAATGAATTTGATTAGAATGCTTTATGAACTGTTTGACCATAAGGCGAGATAAGCATAACACTGAAATAATTTGTGTATGAAAAGAATTTAAATCAGATGCATAAAACTGTTTCATTCAGAAAGTTCCATGGTCAGGTGTTGTGTGAACTCATTTGAAGCATTTCAGTAATAAATATTCATGAAATTTTTTCTTGCCATTGTATTCTATATCTCAGTGATTTCTTGTTTGTTGTTTTTTTTAAGAATAAATGAAATGTAACTATAAAGAGTCATTTTTAACAAAAATCAATTAATAAAATTTGTATTTCTTATTTCAACCACATGGGCAAAATAGGCAAAATCAGAGACAAAATCACTTCAAGATATAGGAGATATTTACTATATTCAGACAATGTTGATCCTGCCTCATTACTGAACTTCATTAGCTCTACTGGTCAGAGACTGTGAGAAGAGCTAAAAATATGCGACAGTAAGGTGTCTGTCATCCATCTGTCTGTAAACAATTTTACTAAACGCAATTTCTCCTACAGTTTTGGTTTGATTTCAATATAACATTGCACACAAGTAGACTACACCAAGATACATAATTTAGTGCATTGCAGGCCTCTAAGTGGCCTCTAAAATTTAGGTGCCAGCTGGGGCCTTATCAAAAAAATTTAGTCGCCAATGCAAATTTTTAGTCACCAGGCATTTTGTTCATGTTCATACTGAAAAAAAGGTGTAAATTTCTTTTTGCTTCTTCAGAAAAATAAAAATGTTAAAAGTTTCGGAATTTGACGACTGCCAAGTTAATTTAAAATGGTCACCAATTTCGCAACTTATGAAAAATTTTTAGGTGCAAATCAAAATTTTTAGGTGCCATGGCGACTAAATTAGTCACCAATTAGAGCCCTGCATTGGTTTTTGATTTTTTTTTTCACATTGTCATACTTTCAAGTTGTCAAAAATGTAAGACACTAATACTAGCATGAGTATGCTGTCTACAACACGCTTTCCGCCATATTACCACTGATCTCTACTTTAAATTTCAGAGGAAGTGAAACATTTAGTTCACTTATACAACCTTTCATATGAAAAGAATTATGATGTCATTGTACTCTGTTCCTCAGCAGTTGGGAATTTTTAGTCTCAAAATTGGGAAAAATTAACATTTTTGGCATTCGGAATGGCAGTCTGATTAAAATCCAACCTTCACTATGGCTCCTTTTTATTTTGATTGTTGCGTGAAGCAACAATCAAAATTAAAAGAAGCTAGTGAAGGTTGGATTTTTAAATCAGACTGTGGGAATGGTACCATTTATCGGTACCAGTCTTTTAAGGAAAATAATCGCTGTGTGACCTGGTTACTTAAAATGGAAATTTCTGTGAAATACTTTCAAAATGCTACTTCTCCTACAGTTTAAGTCTGATTTCAGTATAACTTGGCACAAAAGTAAACTACACTGAGATACATAATTCTTTTTATAAATTTTTGTTTTATTCTATAAGTGTTGTTGCCATGGTTACTAAAATTAGAAATATTTGTACTTTCAAAACACTACTCCTCCTACAGTTTTGGTTTGATTTGAATATAATTTGGACACAAGATTTCAAACTCAGATGAATAATTCTGTATATCATGTTTTAATTTGGAATAATGGTTGACATGGTTACTAAACATAGAAATTTCTGTGAAATATTTCCAAAATGCTACACCTCCTTCAGTTTTGATCTGATTTCAATATAACTTTGCACACAAGTAGACTACACTAATATAAGATACATTATTTTATGTTAGGTTTTATTTTGATGGAACAGTCTTGCCACGGTTTCTAAACATAGAAATATTTGTGGAATTCTTTCAAAAGGTTACTCCTACAACAGTTTTAATCTGATTGCAATAAATCTTGCCACAAAGCAACTAAACTAAGGACCATTATTCTATTTACTGCTGTTGCAGTTTCAAGTGCAAATGCTACTTTTCTCTTCCTTTGTTATAAATACAAAAAAGTAGAGCTACAGTCTCATCAGAGACTTCTGGTTTATGATATTATATTATTAAGAACCTTGAAGATGTACCGTCTTCATCTTGTATTTATAAAATTAGTATTATCACTCTAACCAGTATCACTGTCTGATCAATTCTATCAACATTTTGTGACAAAAAACAGAGAGTCATTTTTGTCATTGTTAGGCATAACAATTGTAGACTTTAGTTTTAATTTAATTGTGATGGAAAAAAATTGTCAAAAAATGAATTTAAGATTATCAAGCTTCATTATGAGCAGATATAACCATTTGCAAATGGAAATTTCTCAGAATTTACTGACCAAGACAATTGATTTAAGACAAAAGAAATCCTTAAATACCTAAGATCAAAGGAGGAATTCCCACTCTTGACTGAGGAAATCATTTGTGAAAGCTTGGATTATACAAGATATTTATTGTGAGAATTATTTAACACACTTACTATAAGAATAATAATCCATGATTGAAGTCCACTCATGTAATCCAGTTTTGAATTATTTGTCAGTCAATAAAATATATCCCATGAAATTTTACTGAACGTGCAGTTATGCATAGTTACAAATTATCTTTGCTTTATTCCCCATTAGAGACCTTGTCCTCTGAATATTCTGACCACAGAAGGAATACTTTGAAAACAAGACCTGCTTCTGTAGCACTTAGCTGCAGTGTGTTGAATGTACTGCCTGTGTTTGACAGGCAGGAAAATTCCACAGTTAATGAAAAACGAATACAATCCTGAAGAGAAGGGAATCAGTGATCCGTGACCTCCTCCTAAAGCTTATGTGTTCCAGCAGTGTAAGCTCTGATTTAACAGTGGGGATATGTCCTCTTTATTGCTGCTCAGGCAATAAACAAAAGATTCAGTAGCAGCAGCTATAGGTATTCAAAGCTTTATATAAATGCTTTGGTATTCCTTATCATTTAATTATATAGTCACCAAGAATATTTTGGATAGTTTGGAATACCAAGGGTGAAGTTCATAATGTGAGGGGCTACGTTATTATTTGATGAAGGTGTAATTACAGATTAAAGGAATATTCAAAGCAGAAATAATTTTTGATGTTTGAAGATTGAATAAATTACAAAATAATTGATTGCTAACATATGGCAAATTGTAGCATTGCAGGTGTCACAATGAACAGACTGTGTTACTTTTTGCTGTTAGATATATTCTTACTAAAAATGCACAACAGTTTGATTCAACTTTTCGAAGTATTTCTTTTCAGAACTTGTAGAGAAATTTTAAATATGTATTGTACCAAAAAAGGCATCTTGTAAAGTATGCGAATTTGTTTCTGTGGAAGTCGAGCAGTACATTGCTTGAAAATCAGTGCATGAGGACTTAATTTATGCACAATAATTTATAATTATACTTGAGATTTTTAACATTTTTAGCTCACCTCAACGAAGTTGGGTTAGCTTTTGTAATATCCTTGACGTCGGCATCCCAGGTTAAAGTTTTTGGAGCAGATTTCTTTTCAAGTACTTCTATGCCCTATATTAATCAGAGGTGCATGTGGATGCTTCTAGTTTGTTTCATTGTACCAGTCAAGGTTTCAGATGCTGCAATTTTAGCTAAAGAATGACCAGGTTAATGTTTTTGGAGTAGGTTAAAGTTTTTGGAGCAGATCTCATTTCCAAGTAACTATAAGTCCTATGTTGACCAAACTTGCAAGGATGATACATCTAAGGATGAACATTACTGGACTTGCTTCGGATGCTGGATCTGACCTACATTTTCTGGATTAGTGTCCAGGTTAAAGTTTTTGGAGCAGATCTCATTTCTGAGTAACTATAAGCCCTATATTGACCAAACTTGCATGGATGATACATCTAAGGATTCACACTACTTGACTTGCTTCGAATGCTGGATCTGACCTACATTATTCCGCATGAGTGATCAGGTTAAAGTTTTTTTGGGGCAGGTCCATTGCCAAGAAGCTATAAGGCCTATCTGAACCAAACTTGCATGGGTGATGCATCAAGGGACGAACACTTTCAAACTTGCTTCAGATGCTGGATATGACCTACATTTTCTGGATGAGTGACTTGTTTGAAGTTTTTAGATAAGTCCATTCCCAAGTAACTGCAAGCCCTATCAGACCTAGGGATGCACACTACTAGATTATTACTAGATTATTAGTTGGGGGGGGGGGGGGGGGGGGACTTCGCCTTACTTAAAGACAACATCTCTGATTAACTATGTTTAATTCTGCTTTTTTAGCAGACTTGAATTTCAAAGTCACAATATTTTGCAGAATTCTGACCAATTTTTAATTAAATTTAATTGACTGATAATAAGTGAAAACATTTTTTTTCATGAATCCTTCCAGCTTGAGTAGCTTGATAGTACATCTGCTGACACTTTTTTATGTATATGTTTGCTGTATGAGTGTGCTAAAAATTTTTACATTCTGTCAATGATTTATGAGGGTTTTTCTTGCTAGTAATGAAAATGTGTATGCTCTAAATTCATTATGATACTTATGGGTAACATTTGTCAGAGTACTTTATATGACTACTGGTACATGTACTTTATTTTTTCTCAAAAACATTTAATTTTTTTTACAGGTGGTAGGAGGCATATTGATGGAGCAATGCTTTCAAATTGTTTAGGTTTACAATTTACAGTAATATGTGATACTCCTAGTATATTGTGGAAATAATTGAAATTTTCATTTAGCCTTCAAATATTAAAGGTCACTGACTTTTAGGGAAATTTGAAAAAATCATTGTTGTTTAATATCATTCCCAAAATAATGACACAATTGACTCTAGAATATTATATATATTGTTTGATTACGTCAGTAAATGCTTTGGATTGTTATTGCCCATGTCCAGTGATTCAGGCTTTGAGGTGGACTGGGGACTAAAGTATCTGGAATTGACATATCATTCAGAAGTCAAAAACATGCAATCTATGAAAACAAAAGCCTAAACATAATGATAATCAACATGGAATTATCCACAAATAACCACAGATGCTGGTGACATGACAATCTAATTCTCAAGAATAAAGTTGTCATTTTCAAAATGCATCCCTGATGGAGTGTTTTGTTATATTTGTGTGGGATAATTATGGCCAGGATTTTATATCTTCTTGGAAGTCGATTTGATTTCTCAAATGATGACGCAAATTAGCCATGGTTATCAATTGCAATCTGAAATGACTGCAGCAGAGATTGCTGTCATTATGGCGATTGAATTGCTATCTTCAATCCTTTTTTTCCCTGTCTGACTTGTTTTCATTTGAATCCAGTGTTCATCGCTTCCTATACTTCAAAGTAGAATTGTTTGTGTGGTGTATAGAAATTAATGTTAAAAGATTTCATTTGTATCAAATTGTTGAAAGCTAGATATATTTCTTGAATATTTTTTTTTCTGTATCATCTTTCAAAAAAGAACCTAGCTGATGACATTTTAATTATTAGCTGTTTTAGCTTCAAAACAAGGAGAATTAATTTTTAGTTTTAAATTCTTTCATATAAAGAACATTTTGCTAATGAAAAGTAAATCTGACTTCTTTCAATTTACAATGCGAAATTTTAATATTGTAAAAAAAAAAAAAAAAAATTACCACAAGGCATTCTCTTAGTAAGAAGCTGTGCAAGAAGAGATTTGAAGCTTGTTATGGGAACCATTACATTTAATCAGAGTATTCCAACACTAACAGAACCATATTTCTCCTTGTAACTGTCAATTGTCATAGCTCTGACTGTAAGAGAATGGGCCAACATAATTTTACTGCTTTAATTCCTCTAGAGGGCTAGGACGTGCTTGGTGTCAAAGTTCAATCTTGGTTCTCCAGCAAAGAAGACGATTAGATATGGAAAAGCTGTGGATAGCCCACCAAGGGAAAAATAGATCAGAAAAGAAATGTAGGCAGACTTGTTTGGTCATTTCATATACAGAGTCATTATTGAAGTCTCCGAGAGCTGATTATTATAAATTTATTGTGTGCCTTGGTGATATGGAGTAGTGTTCAATTTATTCCTCTCAAGAGAAAAACGAATTTTATGGCAGGCTTTGGTTATTGCTTAGGTAATGAATAAACTGGATTATGTATTAAATTGTCTGTTGTAGCTAATACCATAGTTCAGTGATTAAAATGTTTGAAATATTATGTTCTTAAAAAAAATGGCTGTCATTAAATATTACTGGTATGATTTTCTACTAGCTGATGCAGAATAAATTATTTTAATGAATGGGAGTCTTTACAGGGATGGATATAAATTTTCAATGAACTCAAACTTTGATTTGTCCAAATGTAAAACATAAGATTGCCCGAAATTTAAAAAAGAAGAACGTAAACTCAATTTACTATTGAAAATGTAAAAAATGAAAAAAAAAATCCAAAATAACAAACCTTATTATTAAATGAACAACCTTTACATTTATCTGGAAAAGCAAATGAATGCGAAAAACCCATAGTCACATATTCTTGGTGGAAATCAATTAAGAGTTCAGTTTATGATTTAATTTATAAACAAGTGAAAGATAAATAAAAATGTTTCTATTAGAAATATTTATTTGCCTGATCAGACAAGTATGTTGATAGTTTCATTTGCCTGAACTAAAAATTTACCTGTCCTGGGCAATTGGACAACGTTGAATGAACTTTATTCCGAACTTTATCATCATGTTGATCAGATAGGGTACCTCTTTAATAAAGAAGTAGTAACTATTTGAGTGGCTAGGAAAATGATGAATTTGTTCTTTATTGGCATCATTGTTGTCATCTTTGTGTGCCCACTTGGATGATTATGTGTTAATTCAGCACATCAACAATTGATTGATTGTTTTTAAAGAGCACCATATTGGTATGCGATTTTTAATTTTCATCAGTTGAACTGTGTTTAACAATAATGTAAAGTGCTTAATATCTTGTAGTTCTTTGCCTTGCAAATCATTACTGACTTTTCCACATGTAATTCTCTGGTCATGCTATTCATCAATCTATTTGTGCCAAACAAAATTTTGCAGTCTTACTGCTTAATATGAAATGACAAGGCAAATAAAAATGGAAGATGTGTTCTAAGAGTATGTGCCTCTGAATTCCCTAATAGGTATTGGTTATTACTCAGGAAAAAGTTTTCTCTGTTAGTGGCTTTTATTTCATTTTTTTGTTTGTTTGTTTGTTTGTTTGTTTTTTTTTTTTTTGTTTGTTTTTTTTTTTGTTTTTTTTTTTGTTCTCCTGGTTGAAAATTTGTTCTTATGACTGGTGTCCATTAATTACTGTCTGTCTATATCAATTTTTCATTACATCGTGCATTTTTTTCTCTGATTTGAAGGTTTAAAGGTTGTTATTGAATTCTTTAAAAAGCTTAGCGATCAACCCCAAACTTTCAGAATCTTAGATCCACTCCTCAGATTTCTATGAAAATTTAAGGTATCAGATCCATAATAGCCTCAGATTCAATGAATCTGAATGCATAACAGATATATATTGGCTGAATACTCAGTATATGTAGACATAATCTTCATGTTTTAGTATCAATATGTAAGAGTGGAATGTGTCCTAATTTTTTACCTTGTCCTGTCCTTGAAGAGTTATCCCCCTTTGCTTTTAATCAATAAAAATCAATTCTAAAATAATCTATCTGGTAAAAAATTAGTTTTCAATCGTTTTTTAATTCCCAACAATTAAATACATCTTTCCACCA